CTGAGAAAAAGTGAAAAACACCAGTTGTTTCCTTCCAAGCCAAAACCTCAAAACAGGAACATTTTTTCTTTTACTCTTGCATCATTGTTATAACTTATAACCCAAACTCATACATCCCCCTTTGTCCACATGTTTTCTTGAATGTTAAATATTTTATATTGTTATATTGATATTTTTTAAATTATTGCTGCAAACTCTCCCCTTTGTTTTATGTGGAAAAAAGATAAAAGTGCATTATGGCCCTGTGCTGCCTCTGGTGGCCTGAAAGCAAAGTTCCCTCTTTTTTTTTTTTTTTTTTTTTTTTTTTTAAATCACAGAGGCCACTTCCTGTTTCTTTCAGATGTTGTGGAGCTGTCGGTGCTACAGCCGTCACGTAGCACTCAAAGAAATGATAAAGAAACTTCTCTTCTTTATGTTCCCTTTACTCTGAAGATGGAGGTCACAACATCTTACTGTAGATCTTGATAATTTCTTTTTTATTTCTGTGAAGCTAGCATTAGCGTCATCAACTATCCTCATCAAAACCTGAAGCTTGATTTATTTTTTGGGTTTTGGTTTCCATTCTCCCTTTTATATCTCAACATGTGAGTTTTGACACAGCAGCTGGGTGGTCTGGTGGGAAGGATTGATGCGTGCATTTAAAAAAAAAGAAAGAAAGTAGCCTTGACAATCTGAACTAGTTTACGTTTTTTTTATATATATATATATATTTCTTTCTTTTAACGCTTCAACCTTGTAGAGTGGAAAAACAACTGACAATAGACATCGACTACAGTAGACTTAGCCTTGGGGTTGAAAGTGAAGCCTTGGCAATTAACCAGCAGGGGGCGACTCCTCCAATTAGTTTTGACATGATTTAGAAAGTCCTGGTTGGTGGTTTATAATTCTTAAAATCCACAGCTCCAGGGTGTGTCCTCCAATCACCATGTAGAAAAATACCAATGGAAATGTACAATTTCAATCTTGTTTCTGTAATTTTGGATTGAACTCATTGAGTGGGAAACAGTGACAATGGATTCAAATTGACTTTTTGCATGATTGAGAGCAAGGATCGTCCAGTAGGAGCTTAAAGGCTTAATGTCCAACATTTACGTCCAAACTCTGGTCATAGTTGTCGTCCTCAAGGCTACATAACAAATGACTTTTTCTACGCAAACAACAGCTTAAGTCCTGTTTTTTTTTTTTTTTCACACGATCAATGAAAACAACTGCGTCTCTTTGATTTTCAGAGGTCTGTCATAAAAAGGTCAAAGGAAGTTGCACCTCTTCAGGTCTCACTGTGTTAAACGTGGCGACACATTTTCACTTGATAAAAAAACGAATTCTTCTGAGTATCTGTGAAAAATCTGAACAGTTTTCTGTCCTCTGACAAATGTTTTATCTCTGCCTCAGAAGCAGCTGTTGTCACGTTTTCTTTTTGATTTTCAATTTGTGTTTTTTAATAACAAGTTGTGAACAACGTGTGCTTCTGTGTGTGCGTGTGTGTGTGTGTCCTAACGATGCCAAATGTCTTTTTATAAGTGACGTAGTTTTCATGCACTGCTGAAGAGAAACAGAGCAGAGTGAGAGGCAGCTTTAAACAACAAAAAGAAAGAAAAACACAGTGGGGAGCTCTGCTGTGTCGCACTCAGCCTTACTCCTCTACTCCTACTCCTACTCCTCCTCCTCCTCCTTTAAGTCTATTTGGCTGTTTGCACTACAGAGTATCAACCATTTTGATGTCATCTTCGTTCTCCATCTTCGTCTTCTCTAACTTTGTACATTTTTTGTTTTGCTGACTGTCCTTTCCTTCACCTGTTGTCATGGTTCTCCTCCTGCTCCTGCTCCTGCTGCTCCTTCTCCTTCACTCTGGCTGTATGTGTGTATTCTTCTAGTCGGTGGTAAAAACCCAGCTGTGGTCGTGGTAGTTATTTACTCCAAGAAGTTTACGACGCTAGAACAACCCGTGCCGTTTGTAACATTTTTAGCAATAACTTCCATATAATAAAAACAAAACAAAAAAATTACAGGGGGACAAAAGTGGGGTGTTTTTGTTCATTTTTTTATTTTTCTAAAAAAATGCCTTTTTTCCGTTCTGTTTTTTGTACATATTGCAGCTCCAGGTTCTGTTCAAACCTGTTATCCACATGTTAAGAAGAAAAAGAAGAGGGAAAAAAATGAAAAATTTGCAATATTGGCAAAAAATGAGAAATAAAAAAGTGATGAAAATTTTTGCAGTGATGTGTTTTTAATGAAATGTGTTTGTTTTTTCCCCACTGTGAACAGCCCTGTGACTGTTTTATCATTTTTGCCTCACTCTGGCTGCAGGGGAGCGTCAGGCAGTGTCCACAGTGGTACAAACTTTTTGGACCATAATGTGGCCCATCCCGTCTGCGAACTTTGGTAGAAGGTTGAATCTTTAAAAATAAAATGTATTTTTTACAAAAGTAAAAAAAAAAAGAGAGAAAATTTGATGTACATTTTGACACAAAAATAACTTCAATAAGTTGTTGTTATCAAAGTTCTTTGAATGTTCTACTGATGTTCTTCCTCAAATGTTGTTCTTCAAAAGTTCCTTAGTTGTTCAGGGTAAACGTCAGTGTTTACGTCACTCCCTTTAGTTCGAGTTCAGTCAATGAACAAAACAAAGAAAGAAGAAATGGAGCCTGGAACATATACACAGTAAACTGAAGTTTCTTGTTTATCCCACAAGGGGGAAATTTACAGTGTGGGTCTTTCCAACCTGCCCAGGCTGCCACAGGAGGCTGTGGAACCAGAAATGACAGTTTGGATTGGCCTGGAATCGAACCCGCGCCCCCCTTATGGCAGGTGAGAATTCTACCACTACTTTATATTCACAACATAAAAACACAGGTTTTATCTGTGAAGAAGTTCAACAGAGAACAGATAAAGTTGCTACATAAACGCTGCTGTGTTTACTGCAGGACTCAGCTGGAACCTGGAACCGATTCCAGGAACGGCTCCTTTGAAGAGGACGCTGCAGATGTTCCAAGTCCCACAGGTCTGATAAGGCTGCCCCACTTCAACACACACACTCACACATTATGTCAAGGACACGTGTGTGTGTGTCTGTGTGTGATAGTTATTTACAGCATGTTACAGACAGTTTTTACAAAACAGATTCTTCAGTGATCATAAATTAAGGTCTGATTTTTGACCTTTTAGTTGGATTATGCCATTATTTTCTTCTTTTTATATCATATTCAGCATTTCATTTCTGAGATGAATTACAGACTAGATGGTCTTGTTTAATCTATTGGATTCATTCACCTTCTGGATCAAATGGTCGAGTGTCTGACTGACCACAAAAATATCACTTCACTGAGAATTTAAAACTGAAAATTTATAAGTAAAAAAGTTGCTTTAATGTCAATCTATTTTGGGATTACAGTGTTAATATTTATCTAATTTTAAAATGTTTAAAAAGTTAAAAACTAAAAAATTCTAGCTGAAAAATCTTCCAATTTCTTCTTCAATGTATGTTTTTTTTTTTTTAGATCTGTCATTATATTACTAAAACAGGTGAAACATCAGGGGTTTAATCTCAGAGTTTACAGTCAGATTTTGTACTGATTTTCAGATTCTGATTACGAAGCCGTCTTTAACACTTCCAGATTACATCAGACTAACCCTTTCCAGATTAGGTAAACTTGCTTTGCTTTGTTGCACCTTTTCTTCCACAATACAACACAGATTATTAAAGTATGTGACATTTCATGTTAGGTCAGAATAGGTCAAATCTCAGACTGTTGTAATCCAGATTAAAACAACCTATGTAATCTAATTGCAGATCCAAATAGATGAGACACCTGTAGATGTGTACTACAGGTGTTTCATCTATTTGATTGGACAGATTTGGTCTCTATGTCTAACATAACTTCTTGTTAGTCAAATCATGTCAAAACTAGACTAATCGATTCAGATTTTTAAAATACAGATTATGTCAACCAGCTCTGTTCCAGTGGAGGACATTTTGTTTTAGTCAACTTTAAATTAACTGGCCTTAATCCAGATTTATTCATCCTTCTTCCATCAGATACAGATCAACTCAGTTTATTCCAACCCACATTAAGTCAATTCACTCCAGTCAGATCTTACTTCAATCCAGATCAGGACACGTTTTACTCTAATCTGGATTAGGTCAGCTCGCTCCAGGCTGAAGCTCTGATTCCGCTGTAAGTGAACCTGGTGGTGCCTCCACTGGGGGATGTGTGTCCGTTCTGCTCGTTGTTCTTGGGCCCCACTGTCCTGGACCTGGTGGTGTCTCCTTTGGCACTTCCTCCTGATCTCCCTAATCCAGTGGCTCCTCTGTGGAAACCTCCTCCTTGTCTCCTGGTGGCACTGCAGCAGCTCAACGTAGCCGACATGCCCTGACGGAAACGCTTGTTCATGAAGCAGTAGATGATGGGGTTGACGCAGGCCGAGGTGTAGGACAGCAGGTGGATAAAGGAGATGGGGGCGCCAGTGAGGCGATAGGCCGATCGCCGGTCAAAGGCCTGCCAGGCGTTAACCACGAAGACGGGTGTCCAGCACAGGAAGAAGAGGAAGACGATGACCAGGAGCATCCTGATCACACGCTTCTTGGCCATCAGGTTGGTCGTGGAGTTGGCACCACAGACTCGACCGTCCACTAGGGGCTTGGAGCCGGCGTTGACAGTGGTCAGGGTGATGCTCTTCTTCTTTGATGCCTGAACGTAGCAGCCATCACTGTCTGTGGGTTTGAGGCTTCTCTGACGCTCTGAAGAATAAGAAGAAAAAGTCACGTGGTTATTGATATGAAGTCAAACATTCGTTGAGTGTCTCCACTAGCACTAACAGGACGAGCTAAACAACGTACTTAGATAAACACGAACATAAACACTAGCCATAAACACCAAAACTCGCCTAACAGTAAATATAAAAAAACAAAGCCCCAAAAAGGAGGATGAAGCTAACGAGTGAAAACATTAGTCAAAATGTCAAAAAGTAACATTAGATCAAAAAACTAATTAAAGATTTAAAGAAAACGCAATAAAATATGATTAGTAGTTAGTAGTAGTACAATAATAATATAAAAATTTCCAGAAGACGTATTTTAGATGCCAAGTGTAAACGTGTTTACGTGTCTTCACCTCTGCTGGACTTCCTGTTGTTCACCTCATACTTGATGCCCTTGTACAGCTCCAGGGAGATGAGGCCGTAGGCCGTCATCATGATGATCCCAGGGATGAGGAAGAGGACCAGCAGCAGGGACACGTACCTGCAGGTGAGAACCCACATTTGTTAGCCATGTCATTCAGTCAGATTGATGCATCTCTTTGTTGTCGTCTAACTCCAAACAGCAGCTCACCATGACTGTTGGATGATGTCGTTGGGCCACATGAGGCGACACATGTGTCCTGTGCTGTTGTTGAGGCGGGTGAAGGGTTTGAGGGAACTGGAGATGGGGTAGGGCAGCATCAGGATGAAGGACACCACCCAGGTCCCTGTGATCACCTTAGCAGCGTGGGATTTGGTCTGCCAGGTTCTGGACCGCAGAGGGTTACAGATGGCGCTGTAGCGTTCCAAAGAGATGGCCACCAAGTTGAAGGTGGAAACACTCACGGAGACTCCTGAAACAACACGGACAATAAATTAGCACAAGGTAAAAGTAGATTTTAGTAAATGTATCTTAAAGTTGTCCCACAAACTGGAAGTTAGCTAGCCGTCTAAAATACACTTAATATTAGCTGCAATATCTACTTTGACCACTAAACCATTGTTTCCCAAACACTGGGTCACAAGAGTTTTTTTTTTTTTTTCGGGTCGTCCCATTCCTATTTTCCATCAGAGAGGTATTCCATCCGGAATAAAAAAGGTGGATTCCTATTTTCCATCAGAGAGGTATTCTATCCGGAATAAAAATTCAAAAAAAATCCAAAATCCCACTGAATTTGAGGGTCCAGAATCTTTGCTTGAGTTGATGCTTAGTCCTGCAGAAGAAGCTGAGTTGTTGACCTTATCGTCATTCTGGATAAGCATTTCGACAGAATATCCTGTCCTCAGCAGGGGCCAGTATTTTGATGCTTATTCCTTTTTCACGACCACCTATATTTGTGAATTTGTTCTGATATTGCTGGTTCAATTAAATGTAGAAAAGACAAAGAAATGGGCTACATTTATTGTCCAAGTAGGCTCCTTATGGATACCTTTTTTGCTGGTTCAGTTACTGTTTTTCGATGTTTAAAACTTGAGTAATACTAATTGTTCAGATATCACTCGGTCAACAGTAAAATATCCTCATCAATGTTCAATAATGGTGCAGTACACCTTCATTTTGTGATTTATGAATAATGTCTATTGACTTGGGTCACAAAGGTTTGTGACTTCTAAAATATGGGTCCCCAGATATAACACTGCACTAAACAACAGCCACCGGTGATTATACAACCGTAACACTGTGAAACCTGTTGCTCTGCATTTGAACAGAGAAGATTTTAAACCATGACGTATGATTGTAACGCTGTGTTAAAACACTGTAACAGTCAAATGAAACAGGTGTGATTCCACTGTGTAACATTGATTGTCACATTCATTTGAAAAACAACAGGAGGAAACTAAAACTCAAAGATGGCGTGGAGGTCTGACCAGGATTCCTGGACCTCTCTACTCACCCATGAAGTACATGACCAGTTTGCAGATGCCAGCCCCAAAAATGAAGTCCCTCATCAGGTTGGGGATGAGAGTGAAGGGGATGCAGACCAGCGACACCATCAGGTCACTGACGGCCAGTGACAGCAGGAACAGGTTAGTGACCGTCCTCATCCGTCGGTTCCTGACCAGGACAGCGATGATGAGACTGTTCCCCAGGACACTGAGCAGGAAGATGATGCTGTAGAGGACGATCCTCACCGTCTGGTTAATGTCTGAGAACAGGGACCACAGGTTGGACCACGAGAGACGAGGAAGTCCACAGACCCAGGGTCTGTCCTAACATCTTAGAGTTATTACTGTCAAACCAAAAGTCCTGATGGGATTAAATACATTTTTGGTCAATTATAAGTTGTAAGTTGTAAGAACTTGTATGTGTTTGCATGAAAACAAAGGGGACAAGCATGGACTTGTTAATTATAGCTAATTATTACTATGATTACACTGGTGATGATTGTACTGGTCCGGCCCACTTGACAGCTAAGTAGGTTGCATGTGGCCCGTGAACCACAATGAGTTTGGCACCTCCGGTCCAAGTCTTGAGCCTAGAAGTGATCTTTTGGCTGACTTCGAACTGTCCGTTGTTAGCCTCAAGCTAGTGTTTCACTAAACTGCCTTTAACGTAACCGTGGTATACTTCTGGAAATAATTTACAACAAAAATGAATTTTAAAAAGGGCTATATTACTTGATAAAATGTTTACATATGCCTTTTACCTATTTTATCTCTTACGATTTATGTGGTTATCGGTTATATTATAAGCTTTTTCTGTTTGTTGACGGGACCTAAAGGAATGTCGGGGTCTGATTTAGAAGAAGTCTGACTGTTCGTCTACTGTTTAATTATCCCCGACACTGTGGTCACGCAATGCATTTTGGTGATAAAAACAGATTCCTGTTGAGTTGTGCGTTGAACCTGCAGTAACAAACTCGATTAAATGCGAAATTAAGCGTCAGGGGGAAAAAAGTCGCATTTTGACAAAAAAACGCGTTGCGTAAAATAGGTAAGAAGCAAATAAACCCAAAATATCTCAAAAGACAGTTATCAGTTGTTTTTTTTTGTCACTGGATTTAAAAAAAACACCATTAAAAAGCTGTAATGAGGACACGCGCCGACAGCTGCGGTACCTTTAGGTTCTGGTGCTGGTTCCTGCTCATCCTCACACTCAGAGAGGTTCCTGATCCCCAGGCTGCAGATGATCCTGTTCAGATCAGTGGAGTTGGTGAGCAGCTCATCCAGGTTGAACTTCTCCATCTGCTTCTACTGCAGCAGAGCCTCAGCTCCACAGGCTGCAGGCGACATGGAGGGTCCAGCAGCCGCAGACGGGCAGCTTCCAATTCAAAGAAAAGACCAACAATAATACTGTTTATTCTTGTAATTATAATCCAGGTTAAAGACCAGAGGTGTCTGCTGGGTGTCAGCTCCTGCTCCTGTGAACAACAGCTGAGGTCAGGCTGTCACTCACTGACTGAAGGTTTTCGTTTATGAAGGACCACGTCACAGATGGAGGCAGTGGCTTCTCACCATTCTAAACATTGATGGACAACACCCACATCACGGATCATTAAAGGTTTGTGTTTCACACGCACACCCACGAACACATACTCCAGTAACATTAGATAACAGTGAAACAACAGTGCAATATAATGGAATTCAAAATAACATTAAAAATATGTACGAAAGATAAAGAAGTGAACAGTTATAGAAAAACAGAGGACAAAAGTGTTGGTTTAACTCCCAGATAGTCCCAATGGCAGCAACTATTTCTTTTTCTGTAATTTCCAAAACAGTAAGAGGACAGGACTGTGAAACTTTATTTTTATTTGTCGTTGTAATAATTTCATTGGCTTAAAGCAGCTACCCGTCCAGCAGGTGGCATTGGGGTTGTTTTTTTTAAAAACTTTTTTCAAAGCAGCTACCCGTCCAGCAGGTGGCACTGGGGTTGTTTTTTGTTTTTTTTTTAACTTTTTTTCTCCTCAAACAGACGCTGTTCCTCATTCTGATCAATTTAAATTTTCTAAGTGATTAAACCAAGCCTTGAGTCCAAGTCTTTAGTCTAACTCTTTAGCTTTAGTCTTTTAGTCTAGTGTGAGGTCGCGTCATCCTTCAGCCCCCCTCCCCTCCCCCCATGCGCCTGCAGTGCCGGTCTCAAGCATCTTCTTTACAGTTGCGAGATATTTATTTCAAATAAATAATTTATCTTAAATAGAAATAACAAAACGTAAAAAAATAAATAATTTATCTTAAATAGAAATAGCAAAACGTAACATGTTTTTATTTTCTCTTGTCCGTGTACGTCTGTTTTACATTTTCAATCAGTTATTTCTTAACCACTGTACATGGGTCTTCGCATCGGAACCAACAGGACTTTTGTTTCCCCCCGTGTTTTGTTCGTTGCTGCTCGTTGTTAGCAGGTTGCTAAGTGACTATACAGAAGCTTTACTGTCAATGTCAGATTCTGTGTTGATTCTTTTTTTTAAAAAATAACCCGAAGAAGTGTATGGATTAAAATGATGGGGGATGACGCAAATTTATCGGTGACGATTGCCCACATCGTGCAGAGGCTTAAAGGGACCTATTTACACTCACAGATAGAGAGACACGCCAAAGTGAGTGGATTTGCATCACCATACAATCTGTGGTTAGCATGCGGCTAACGAGCCGTCGGCTGCCAACATCATATATATGTTGTGGGAAGAAAAAGATAAACAAACGAACAAAAAAACAAAAACAAACCAAAAACCCTAACACTAACCCAAATGTATATTATAGTCTCCAAAAAACTACAATGTAAAATAGAAGTTAATGGAAAATATATATATTTTAACTTGTATAATTAAATCATTTTGCTTTTACTTCACATGTTATCTTTCTGTTAGTTGACACTGTCTGTCAATGAGCTGTTTTTGCCACCCCATCATTCATAAACTAAACTTGTAAACCTGTCTTATTAATTAGCCACTATTTCTGTGACTCCATTAATGACAAGTTGGAAATGTTAGAGACGTGTGTTTTTCTGTCTGTGTTTTTAGGAATGTTTACACCAACCTGAGATCAAACTGGAGTCTCTCAAAGAGGACGTGAGATGTTTCCTTAAAACATCAGGTTTGTAGAGTCTAGTGAAACTTTGTTTTCCTCTGGGAATCCACTCATTATTTGTTAGGTTTGTGACAGTGACATTTGTTTTGTGTTTTCAAGGATGGGAGAGGAAGCTGCAGAATGCAGTGTACAGAGAGCTGCACAGGTGAGTTTGTCATCAGGATGCAGAACAGCTCTGCTCCTGAAGCTAGCGTATACCTAGCTAGCACATGTTTGTTAGCCATTTTTAAATGCTTAACACAGGTAATAATTATTGGATAGTGAATCAAAGTAAGGAAAGAGCATTTTAAAATGGATGTTTCTTTATATATGTAGTAGTATTGTCTGTGGGTAATCAACAAAAGTCCCCAGCCAGAAGCTAATACTGTTTTGGAATAAAGGTTTGGGAACCACTGATTTAGACAATCAGACCATTTCATTTTCTTTTTTTCTTTGCTCTTCTGTTAAACATTTATCTCCTTCAGTTTTCAGTTGTTGTTCTCATCTGTCAAGCACTGTCTCATTTCTTCATGTGTTTACTTCTTCTTTGCTCTCTGCAGCCACCTGCCCCCGACTCACCCTGCAGCTCCTCCGGAACATCTTAAAGAGCCGCTGGCCTACATGCGCAAAGCTCAGGTGTGTCAATCTCATCTTATCTTCGTCACCTGTTTCCCTTCTGCCTCCATCTGTATCCACTCAAGTGTCAAAATGTACTTTAAATATTTGACTTTGCCTTCATGCTCAAGTTTGACAAAACATTTACAGAATCTAATTGGAAAATGTTCAGCTGGCTTCTGTAGTTCACACAACACCCACACGAGAATTATAGGAGGAAAAAATAATATTCTGTTGATATAATAAATATATAAACGGTTAGTGGTTAGACAAAACATAGCTGAGAGAAAGCTAAATGTAAAAAAAACCCTGACATTTAGCTGAAGATAACTAAAAGCCAGTTATGACTTAGCAAAAAAGTAAAAAAAACAAACAAAACTTAATCGTTTCACTCAGGTGTGTGGCCAGATTTGTTGATGTCTGTTTTGGTTCTCACACCAAGCTGAACATCAGCAGCATCCTCTGTTTGGACAGTGGCCTCTGATAGAACTTCAACCTTTAATTTCATTGGATGAATCATTTTTACAGAAGGCTTTAATGTGTGAGTGTTGTAAATGAATGTGATTAAATAAAACTATAAAGTAAAATATATGGAATGCATACAAATACAACTCCCCAGAACGTCTTGTCAGCAGGTACTTTGAAATACTTTCACTGTAACAGACAGTAGCGTCAGTGACAGTTGTGCTTCCGTTGTCCACTCTAGTACCTCATTAAGGCTGAAAATAATATCAGAGTTATTCATTTTTAGCAATATGTATGTCAAAGCTCTTATAAAAACCAACTAGATGTATATATACACATGTACATGTATAAATGAGTGCACGTGTGTGTGTCCTCCTCCAGGCCACATGGGAGAAACGTGTCCTGAAGAGTCTGAACAGCATGAGCTCAGAGCTGGGAGTTCCTCTGGCTCGAATGGTACTGGTGTCAGTCACAACCTGAGCCAATCCTACAATTACCCACAAATCTGCTGCATGTTGTGACCAAAGAGAAGCTGCTC